TAGACACAAGTAATTTGTAAAATCCCCTTTAAGGTCTTATTTTCTTTTGTCATATGCATAAAAGTCAGTTGGAAATATTAAGGCATATTCATTCTCGATGTATTTACCTTTACTCATATCGCATTTTTGGAGTGCAGTTCCAATACTGGGTATTCAATTTTAAAATTAAGCTTATTAAAAATAAGTAGCAGTATCAGAATCGTGTGTACATCTGTGTTTGATTTTAATTTTTTCTCTGCTCATCTGTAGAACAACAGTACTTCGAGATAGAAAAGCGGCTGTCCCACAGTCAGGAGAGACTTGTGAATGAAACTAGAGAGTGCCAAAGCTTGCGTCTTGAGCTAGAGAAGCTCAGTAAGTATTCAATTACATCTTTATAATATTTGTGGAGTGTTGAAATCTTCAGACACTCCTTTGGAAACATTTACTTACTGTATATGAAGTACTGATTAAGGGTCATTGTTTTTGCTTATAGTGACATTTTATTTTTCATTCGGTGGCAAAGATTTCCTAAGAACACAGGTCTTAATGGTTAGGAGGCCTGGGTTCTAATTCTGAGTGTTGTTAAAAGCTCTTTTGCCATATATAAATTTAACTGTGTCACTGTTCATAAAATGGCTGGAACCACATATCCATCCACTTATGCAGTTATACTGACCAGATATATGTTTGAAAGCATTATGCACAGACAAGGTAAAGAGAGTGACTTAATTTTTGTTATCGAAAAAGTAAAACCTAGTAGTTTATTATACTTATATTTTAAATCTCTATGTTATAATTTTTATAAATATTTACGAATCAGGATACTTTATATTTAAGGCCTAGTTTCTATAAAAGATGAGTAATTTCCTTCTTCATTAGTTTTCTTACATCATTGAGTCCTAGAAGGTACACAAGATTTTATTAAGGTCCTGACATTTCTTAGGAGGATGATGTGTATTATGTGCTTTGTTGACAGTAGAAGAAAGCAAATGTCAAAAAAGACCTCTACAGAGTAGAGGCATAATAATTGTTATTAGATATAGCTAGATTTTAATTTGATTGGGAACTCAGAAACTAATAAGAAGAGTGGTCAGTACTTCAGCCCTCTTTCTTAACCAGGTTCATGCCCATTGGCTATTTGTTTGGGTCATAACTTCAGCTAATTTTGGCAGACCTCATCTTTAAAACGTGATATACATATGATGGTATGATATGCATACATAATGAGGACATAAATATTTGTAGAGTAGCTAGATCCAGTTCATTATCTATATGTAGTTTTGCCTTGGTATAATAAAAAGCTCTATAGAGTAGTGATGCTAAAGAATTTCAGAAAATGACTGATTACAGCTGCTTGTATGAGAGCTAGAAAAAGGAGAGGGAGGGGAAGATGGGGGTAAACTTAAAAAGACATCTGAAGTATACAATTAGATTTGTATTTTTCATTTTATTCTGGATCTATAAGTTTGGAAAACAGTAACAGCAAAATAGAAAATTTAGACTAATTTAGCAGGTTTTTTGCATTTAATAAGTCAATTGTTTAAATAGAATTTAAGACTAGAAGTAGTAGTAATGTATTTGCTCATTAAATTGCTGACACGTGATACAGATGAGTTTTAATGGAAGAAAGCTTCAAAAACTACACTGTTCTAATCTGCATGTGTTTATAAGAGTACTGAATAAGGGGATAGCCCATTATAAGTGGACATTGTGTGACTGATAATTCAGTAAAAAAACAAAAGCATACTTTTTCTTTCCATATTATAGATTTATCTTTAGAGCGATAAATAAGCTGAATTACAATTACAGTATACATTGTCATGATTTACTCTATGTATATTTTATGTAGCTTAAGTATTATTATTTACTCTCTTGATTTTTTTAACTCAATTTTCTTATTTGTAAATAAAATTCATTGAGGCTTTTTTTATGATTTAATTGGAAGGTGTCTTAGAAAAATAAGGAAATTGATCATTACATATGCTTTTTTCTATGAAGGTTGGCTAGAAAGACCACAAATAACGATTTTGGAGAAAGGATAGCATATTTAAAATTTTGGTCTAGAAATACAGTAAATTTGGGATGTATTTATGAATTTGGAATGTGATTTACAACTCAGCCTTTGTGATACTCAGTTTCTTAATTTTAAAATGTATATAGTTGGCAGTTTGATAAAAACTGGCATTGCAAGTTTTAAGCTTATGTGTGTGGTCATAAAATTTATTTTATCCAGGCAGTCAACTAAAGGCAGTAACTGAGAAAAACAAAGAACTTGAATTTGCTCAGGATCGCAGTATTTCCATTCAGGTAAATGTTATTTCTATGAATAAAGCTAATTGTAAACATAATACTTGAGGATATTTTCTATTCTGATTTTGCTTATTAGTCAATGGGAAGATGAAACAGATGTTCTGTTAGGAGAAGCTGCTAACAAAAACATGTATACATAAATATCTTAATTGCATCTTCATATGTTTTATTAATAGATTGGACATTTCTTTTATTCATTAGAATATATTGATACTTGATATTAAAAACACTTGCGTTTAGCTCTGAAGCTCTTAAGTTGTGTGTGTGTGTTTTTGAATTCTTATTTTAAGTAAAGTGTCATAGAACTATCAGTAGAATAGATGTTCATAGATTCATCTATCTACCCACTTATCCACTTACCTACCCGCCTTCCACCTTTGCTTTCTCTTAGAAATTGTCTACCTAATGCTTACCGTTGCCCAGGCATTATTTCAGATATTGTGATACAGTTGGTGATATGGGTGAATCCACATTGGAAATCATTACCTTAGAGTAGTGATATAAATAACAGATTGACTGTAATTTTAAGGATTGTTGACCAATTAGTTTAATAAAGTGATCATACCCAGTGATTCTTGAATTAGATAAAACTTCAGACTTCTTTCCATTGCTTTTT